ACCCCAACCCATACTTATGAGTATCCAGGGTAACCAGGTAGGCAGCTTTAACTACCCAATTGAGTTTTCCAGGTTCACGTCTGACAAAGGAGAGATAAAGAAGCCAGTTCTGGGACAGAGTGGGACAGCAAGATATCTGATCATGTTTTTCAGAAAAGTGCACCACTTAAATATTTTCAGACTACAGTTTATTGTGGGTAATTGAACCAGCAGAAACTAAAAGAGTAACTAAGTTAAAGTAGATTTTTTCTTTCTCCTCTGAGTCTTGGAATGACCTTTTGCTTTCTTCATGAGTCTCATCCCACAACTTATCTGGTCTTCAATTACTGGTGTTCAAGCTTCAAACCTGTTATTAAGGTGATCTTTAAATTCAGATGGAATAGATTCATGGACTTATTTTCATTTTCTTTGGCCTCAATTTGAACTAGCATATGATGATTTGACCCTGGTCTTGTTGACGACTAATATTGAGCTTATCCAACAAATTTTCCTCCAATGTAGTCAATCTGATTCCTATGCAGTCCATCAGGTGAAGTCCATGTGTAAAGTCACCATTTGTGTCTTTTAAAAAAGGTGTTTGCAGTGAGTAAATCATTGAAACCACAAAATTCTATTATTCCATTTCCAGCCTCATTTTGATCACTAAGTCCGTATTTTCCAACTATTATTCCTTCTTCATTGTTTCTTATTTTTGCATTCCAGTCACAAATTTTCATTAACACATCTTGACTGCAGGTTCAGTCAATTTCAGTCTGCAAGATTTAATGAAAATTTTCAATTTCTTCCTCTTTGGCTCTAAATGTAGGAGAGTATTATTTGCGTAATAGCCATATTAACAGATCTTCCCCGTATGTGTATGGAAAACATCCTATCACTCAGAACACTGTATTTAAGATCAGAAAATGAAGTTGACTTTTTGACTATGAACACACCACCATTCTTCTTCTGTTCTTCATTCCGAGCACAGTATATTCTATGCCGCTGAGTTGCTTGAGACTATGTACAATAGTTCTGAACCCTAATCTATCCTGTGCCAATCTTGTCTCTGACACACCTATCCCTATTACCCCAGTCACTGAATATGATTATGGGATTAAAGTGACAAAGGGAAAACATACTGAAGTAAAAGAACTACATGTAAGATTTCAAAAGTCAGCTCAAGAAGACAAAGCAAAATATTAAAATGGAATGTGGAGAGAGCTGGAATTGGAGAATAAAAAGGGAATATCAGAAGAATAAATATCTATTTATCGATTACAGACTATGAAAAGGCATTTGACTGTTAAGATTAACATTGAAAATAATGGGAATTGCAGAGCACTTAATTGTGTGCTCATGGGAAACCTTTATCTAGACCAGGAGGCTCTGGTGCAAACAGAGCAAGGGAATACTGTTGTTGTTAGGTGTCTTCGAGTCAAGTACAATTCCTTTGTCAACCCTCCACTTTTCCCAGTGCCATGTCCTTCTCCAAGGAATAGCCCCTCCTAGCAACATGCCCAAAGTGTATGAGGTAAAGCCTTCTTGTCTCCAAAGAGCACTCTGGCTGCACCCTCTCCAGGACATATTTTGTTTGTTCTTTTGGTCATCCATAGGATAGCCAAAGCTCTTCTCTAACAACACAACTCAAAAGCATCAATTTTTCTTCTGTAATCTTTATGCACTGTCAGCTCTTAGATACACAGAACTGAGAAAATCCACAGTTAAGGACTTCTCCAAGTTACTGAGAAGTAATTATGTCAATTTGAGAACTAAGGTGCGTCTGATTAATGCCATAGTTTTTTCCGATCACTTGCTGTGCATCAGCACAGAAGGGACCATTAGATGGTTTAAAATAAAGAGAAGAGGAAGGGCGTGAGCAGGGAGAAAGGTGCAACAATGAATGACTGGAAATCCTAAGTGTCTATAAACTTTCATTAAGGTTAATAAATTTTAAAAAAAAGGAAGAAGAGAGTACATCAAGGTTGTGTTCTCTCTCCATACCTATTCAATCTGTATTATGAGAAAATTACTGCATACCGAAAAGTGAGGAGGATGTGAAGCACCTGTTGCAGAAGATCAAAGAATACAGCCTTCCATATAGATTCCATCTCAATGTCAAGGAAAAAAAGATTCTTACCACTGAACCAAAAGGCAACATCATAATAGATGGAGAAAAAAACTGAAAATGTCAACAACTTCGTCTTACTTATATCCAAAATTAACACCCTTGGTACTAGCTGTCAGGAAACCAGGAGATATAATAGTACTGAGAAAGTCTACAATTAGAGACCGCTCCAAATTACTGAGCAATAATAATCTCAATTTGAGGCCTAAGGTGTGTTTGATTCAGGCCTTAGTCTTTTTTCATTTGTTATGCAACTGAGAGGTGGACAAGGAATAAGGATGACAGAAGAAGAATTGATGCCATTAAGCTGTGGTGTTGGAGAAGACTGCTGAACTTCCTATGAAATGCCAAAAGAACAAACAAATATGTCTTGGAAAGGGTGCAGCCAAAGTGCTCTTTGGAGGCAAATATGATGAGGCTATACCTCACATACTTCAGGCATGTTACTAGAAAGGACTATTCCTCGGAGCAGGACATTATACTAAGAAGGGTAGCAGACTGTCCAAAGAAAGAAGATCCTCGACCAGGTGCACTGACATGGTGATTGCTGCAATGGGCTCAGGCTGCAACGGGCTCAGGAAGTGTAAGGATGGCACAGAGTTCGGATCTGTTGTTCACAGGGTCACTATAGTTTGTACTCAACTCGACGGCTTCTAACATTTTAAATGGGTTTGTGAATTTTATTTCAATAAAGTTGTACCAAAATAAGGACTTCTTACCTAAAAAAATCCAAATATAGCAAATTCAATACATTATTTTCTCTATTCCTTTTGAATACTAAAATGGAAGTAAAGTAATTTAATATAATTTTGTTGCTGCTATTGAGACTACACATAGCAGAACAGCCACCTATTTCACAGTTTCTGAATGCTTAATTCAGGGATACTTATTAAATTATTTAAGTTGTGTAACTATTCTCACTATTTTCTTTAGTGTTCTTCTACTAATATAAATTCACCATCCCTTAAACTTCCAAATTTATCTCTCAAATTGCTATGGTCCATTTTATCCCACACAAATAATTCTTAATAAAAGAACAATGGGAAAGGCTGGTAAATTAAGCTAACTACTAGTTTAAGGTTTCAGGAAATATTTTTGGTTTAAAATATTAAACCAGTTTTAGGTGTTTATCAAACTTCCCCATAGCTCAGAAAAGTTGGATTCCATGACAATTTAAAATTCTATTCTATATTTTCCCTAATTTAGTCAGGACTCTTTTACGGAATCTTTGATCAAATATCAATTAACTGGGATGAGCCATGAAACAATGACCCTATACCTCCAAATCAAGGAACCAAATCCCATGAATTTGTCTGGATGTACATAAACAGTCATCCTTTCTTTTGGTGACTGTTATAGTAAGAAAAATTCTTATAGGTTTTAAATTCTTAAATCCAGAATGAATATGTGCAGAGCCTAATGAAACAGGATTTTGGATACTTTGAGGAACTTACATTAGAGCCCTGGTGGTAATGTGGTTATAAATGTTTGGTTGCTAGCCAAAGGGCTAGTGGTTAAAAACTACCAGGCACTCTGTGGGAGAAAGATGTAGCAGTCTGTTTCTATTAAGATTATAGCCTTAGAAACTCCATTGGGAATTTCTACTACTCTATAATGTTGCTATTGTTGTTATGTGCCGTCGAGTCGAGTCACTTGCGACTCATAGCGACCCTATGTACAACGGCCCTAAACTCTGCTCTGTCCTGTACCAATCGCACTGTCTCCGACACACCCATCTCGATTACTCCAGTCACTGAATCAATCCACCTCCTAGAGGGCCTTCCCCTCCTGCGCCGTTCCTCCACCCTCCCAAGTATGATGTCCTTCTCCAAGGATGGGTCTCTCCTCACAACATGTCCAAAGTATGTCAGATGAAGCCTCAGAATCCTTGCCTCCAAGGAGCAGCCCAGTTCAACCCTCTCCAGGACAAATCTGTTTGTTTTCCTAGCAGTCCATGGTATTCTCAATACTCTTCTCCAGCACCACAGCTCAAAGGCATCAATACTCCTTCTATCCTCCTTGGTCATTGTCCAACTCTCTGATGCATAACAAGTGATTGCGAAGACCATGGCCTGTATCAGACGCACCTTAGTCTCCAGAGAGACACCACTGCTCGTCAGTACTTTAGAGATGTCCCTAATAGGAGACCTTCCCATGGCAATATGTCTTTTAATATCCTGGCTGCTGCTGCCAAGAGTGTTGATTGTGAAGCCAAGCAGACTAAGGCTGTGAACAATCTCAATCTCTTCACCATCCATCCTTGATGCTGCCAACTGCATGGTTCAAAATTGGGAAGGGCGTATGCCAGAGATGTGTCCTGTCTCCATACCTTTTCAACCTGTATGCAGAACAGATCATCTGGGAGGCTGGGCTCTATGAGGAGAAATGTGGTATCATCAGGATTGGTGGAAGATCTATCAACAATCTGCATTATGCAGATGACACAACCCTGCTTGCTGAAACTGAGGAGGACCTGAAATGCTTGCTGCAGAGGGTCAAGGACTGCATCTTCCAATATGGATTGAGGCTCAATGTCAAGAAGACAATGATTCTCACCACTGGATCACTGAATTCTATAACAGTATTGTTATGAATTGGAACTGACTAAACAATAATAAAGGGAGGTTTTTTTCCTCAATGAGACAAAACAAGATGGGTAGGTGGTAAGTTGACCTAGTTTCCCATTTTCTCATTCTGCAATGACAATAGCAAGAGCTTAGGAAAAAGGATATTTCTATTACATGATCTTAGAAAGACTTTCAGAAACTCGAATCTTCACAAAACAGGAATGATTTATCTTTTGCCCAGGGTTTATATGCGGATCAAAGAGTAATGAATAGCCTTTTCAAATAGTAAAGTGTTTTAAGAGTAAACTGTAGAGTAGCCTTAATATTACCTTCCCAAGTCATCACTCCAAGAAATCGATCAGCCACTTCCTGAGGGAACCGCCAATGCTCTGGAAGGCACAGGGATCCATCGGGTCTTTCAGAACACAATTTCTCCAAGTTAGCAATTAGGGTATTCAAGCAGATATTGACCAAAGAGTAGGGTGATGCCTCCTCCTGTCAAACAAACCCCAAACAAACTTTGTTAGAATACATCTGCATAAAATTCTATCTCCAGTTGGCCATGTCAGATGTCAAAGATATATGAAGATAAATTCTCATCACTCTATGGAGGATTTCTATGTATTAAACTACTTTAATTCCAACTCTTAATCAAAGATTTTATGTTCAATCGTATCTTAAACAAAATGCTCTAACTTCTCACTTACCACCTGTTCTGTTCCAGCTTCTGAAAATACAGGAATGAGTAAGATATTGTTTTAATCTTTTAGGAGCTTAAAGTCTAGGTGGTAATTCAGATAAGTATGTAAAATTTTTCAAGGAGAAATTACATGGTTAATTTATTCAAAAAATACTTATTCAGCAACTTTTGTGTGTCAGAGAATTAGATAATATTCCTAGCCAAAAAGGTGTCTGTTACCTAAAACCAATAAGCAAGCACGCTCTAAGAGTGAGGAACTAGTAGGGAGAGGAAACTATAAAAAAATGACAGGAAAATATCTTCTAACAGAGCAAGAAGGCAAGCAGCTTTAACCCAAGACCACAAGTAAGATGATAAAGCGTCCTCCCTTCCCCCCTTTACATCTACGTCCTTGTTCAGCATGAAGAAGCCAGAGAGTCAGCATCCAATTCCCAAATCAATGAGACAGTTGGTTTAATTACCATTGGAAAATGCTTGTCATTCCTCTGTAGCATCTGGTCCCCACTGGGCCCTCATCATTTCCTTCAGCTGCTGCCCCCACCGACCAAAGTGTGCAGCTCTGCAGCTGCATCCTGGCCCATCCTCACCCTTCTGCCCCCAACCCTCACCTCCTTGTACCCCCAATATGTTTTTCCCAATTAAAAAAAAAAGGCTTGTGGGCACTTTCCCCCTTTAGAATACAGGCATTTATTCATTCAACAACTGTTTGGGAAGTACACTGCATGAGGCATGAAAAGAAGCCAAGCAAACTGTTGTATCTCTCAGCAGCTTCAACACGTGTACGAATCATTATACTATTTGAACTCTCTTCCCTGTCCGTAATTACCTCTATCTCATCTTAGCACAATCATATTCCATGTCATATCTTAATCTTACCAACATCAGAAAGTATATCATGTTCAGCATCAGGCACACCAATCTTACTCATATGTTTATATACAACCACTGCAACATTTCACTGATAGCTCCCCTCATCATCCTAGCTCATTAAATTGCATGATCCAAAATATAAATTTCTGCTGCATAATAAAGAATTAATTTAGAAAATCTGAGTTATCCAAACCGTCTACATTCCTAAGAAAATTTGTCTCTTGCACAGCTCCTGAAAGGAAAAAAAAATCCCTAAGCAAGTAGGATAACTTGCCTTAAAAAAACTGCCTTTGGTGGCCTAGTGGCAAGGAGCTGCAACTACAATCCCAGAGGCACACGGTTCAAATCCACCAGATGCTCTGCCGGGAAAAGGAGGGACAATCTCCTCCTGTACCAGTCAGATCTGATTTGACGGTACACTCATACAAAAATTAAAAAAAAAAAAAAATACTGAACTTTGAAAAAAAAAAAACAAACCAAAAAACTGCCTTTGTTTACCTGAGTATATTCTAGGCCAAAGTCAAGACAGTTCAATAATGTCATCTATAGTAGAGACCCTGGGTATCACCATCTTAACCTCAGGAGGGGAACAAAAGTCAGTTATACCTACTTGACCACCTTTAATGAAAACAGGGACACCAAGGTTCAGACAAGATTCCATGGTTGACAATACTTTATGCATTTTGTCACACATCATCACTGTACAGAGAAAATTAAGTGCTACTGGCAAAATAGAGAATTCAACAAGAAGAGACCAACTAGATTTTTGCACCTGGTTTCTCCTAGACTCTATCCTATATTATCTTTTACCATTATGGATTTTTAATCTTCATCTGTTCACTAAACAGAAACGCTTTTAACTTTAAATATAACTTGATGAATTCTATGAGTTCTTCTAGCAAATTCATGACCTTGAAGTCAGTCTTAGAAATCTACAAATTCTTATTGTTATGTGCCATTGAGTCCCCTGTGACTCACAGCAACCCTATGCATAGTAACTCTGAACTCTGCTCTATCCTGAGCCAGTCTTACTATCTCCAAAACACCTACTTCCATTACGCCAGTTACTGTGATAATGCATCTCCTTCAAGGTAGTCCTCTTGCACAGTCCTTCTACCTTTCCAAGTATTATGTCCTTCTCCAGGGATTGATCCCTCCTGGCCACATGCCCAAAGTATGTGAGACAGAGCTTAAAAAGCCTTGCCTCCAAGGAGCAACCAGGTTTCATGCTCTCCAAAATAAACCTGTTTTTCCTCTTCTCAACTCCCTTGCTCTTTTCCATTATTTTCTTCAGTCAAAATTCCATTCATGGGAAAATGCACAGTTCCATTTGTGCCAAAATCCACCTTCTAAGAATTAATGGAACCCCAAAGAAACCATAACTGCCACCCAAGCAGATATATACGCACCCATGTTTATTGTGGCTTTGTTCACAATAGCAAAGAGGTGGAAATAACCCAAGTGCCCATCAAAAAAAGAAATGGATAGAGAAACTGTGGTATATTCACACAATGGAATACTATACTTCATTGAAAAACAAGGAACTCATTCAGTATTATTCAAAATGGGGTGACCCTGGAGGACATTATGCTGAGTGAAATATCTGAGTCACAAAAGGATAAATACTGCATAGTTCCACTGTTGTAAAACGGAACTGACATCGGGTTTGGAGGGAAACTGAGATAGATAAATTATGTATAATTCATTGAAACAGATGAGGGAGAGAACTGTTTAAAAGGGATATATGGTTAGGTATTATTGTCATGATAGGAGTCCAGAACAAAGGCTGCATAGTGGAGTGGTCTTGGGGGGAGGAATTGTATAACAATGAAAGAATTTTTCTTTTACTTTTCAAAGAGAAGAGTGAACTGGGTTGGGAGGGGGTGGGTAGGGAGAAAAGCACAACAATGAATGAATGGAAATCCAAAGTCTGTAAATTTTCATTAAAGGAACTTGGTTTCACCCTCTCCAAGACAAACTTGTTTTCTTGGCAATCCATGGTTTGTTCAAGACTCTTCTCCAGCACCACAACTCAGAGACATATTCTTCTGTCATCCTTTTCACTGTCCAGCTCTCTGATACACAGCAAATAACTACAAAGACCATGGCCTAGATCAGGAACACCTTTATCTCTAGACTGACATTACTGCTTCAAATTTACCATGTGAAAAACTCAAATTCTCCAGTTTACTTGTTTGTGGTCATTTCAACAGCATCTAATAATACCACCGCTAGATGATTATACATTTTAAAATGTTTTATACTTATTAATGGATCAATCCATCATTATAAAATTTCAACCTCAAGGTCGTTTTTGTAACATTAACATAGTCTAGTTCTTTTTATAAGTTTTTTATTTCTATATACTCTTAACCTCCGTATCTCTTAGATGGAATAAAAAAGTCAACCTGTTTTATCTTATCTGTGCTTTGTTATCAATAGTGCTGGGTTTTACACATACTATTCATGGGAATGTAAAATCATACACTATGGAAAGCAGATTAGTGCATGCTTCCTTAGAAACTTGGAAACAGATATCATTTGATTCAGCAATTCTACTACTAGAATATATATAAAAAAAATGAAAGCTACAAGATAAAATGACATGCACATACTCATATTTACAGCATTATTTACAACAGCAAAGAGCTATAAACAATCAAAGTGTGTATTAGTACATGAATGGCTATAAAAACCCTGTGCATTCACACAATAGAGTATTTATGTATCACTGAAAAATGATCAAGAATTTTCTTCCCTTTTTTTTCATTTTAATGAAAATTTAGAGACTTTGGATTCATAGTTGCACTTTTCTCCCTACCCAACCTCACCTTCCTCTGTTCGTTCTTCTCTTTGAAAAGAAAAATTTTTTCATTGTTATACAATCCCTCCCCCCAAGTCCACTCCACCATGCAGCCTTCATTTTGAAAAGATCAAGAATTTTTTAAATAGTGTATAGTACAAATCAAACTAGAGGACATTATGGTGAGATCAGTCAGTTAAAAGTAGGCAACTAAGATATCAGGCCACTAATATAAAAAGTAAATGTTTAAAGAAATAGAAAATCAAATTTAGAGGGGTAAGAGAGATGAGAATGGAGGGAGAGAGGAGCAAAAATTAATAAATTGGTAAACTGAGTGAAGGTAAAAGCTATATACAGTAAAGGACTGATGGTGGTTGTGCTTACATGCCCTCAAGTCTAACACAACTCACATCAATGCTATAAACAACAAACCTAAACCCTGTTTTCTCTTGTTCCATCCTCAGACATACTTGAGTCCACTGTTAAGTCACTGTTAAGTCACCATTTCATTGAGGGTATTGCTCTCTTCCATTGACCCTCCAAATTTCCAAGCAAAAGACTTTTTCCAAGGCATGGACGGCCCTTCCTAATAATGTGCCCAAAGTATATGAGATAAAGTTTTATCATCTTTGCCTCTAAGGAGAACTTTGGGTGCATTTTCTCCAAAATAGAAATGCAGTCCTTTTGGCAATCTGTAAGATATTCTGTATTCCTCACTAACACCACAATTCAAAAGAATCAATTTTCTTCTGTTATCTTAGGTCACTGTCCAATTTTTAGCTCAAAGTAACTGAAAAAGACTACGGCTTGAGGGGGGCGCCACTTTTCCGTTCAGAAAGGTGGCAGCCAAGGCCAAGTGCTGCCTCAAGGAGGAACAAGGGGAACAGAGTAAATGTACAGGGAAAATAAAGTCCTATGGAGCAGGTGGGGGGGGGGAACTATGGCTTGAATGAGGTGCCCATTAGTCTTTAAACTGTTATCACTGTTCCTTCGCAAACTGGAGAAGTCCTTGACAGCAGACTTGACCAATGCAGTATGTTTTTTTGATTCTTGATTGTTGGTACTAGGGTGTTAATATGGATCCAAGAGTAAAGATAAAAATTGTTGACAACTTTATCTTTT